CAAGTCATAATGTTACTGAAACATGTTTTTTTTCCACTTGAAACCATCTCGGTAAGTGGCATAAACACCACCTATTTGTTCAAGGCAGAAATGCATGCCATCCTTAATTTCTTCTCTTTTTTGTTCCCAATCCAGTCAATATCAAATCCTCCAGATCCTACTTAAATGTATTCAGTTGCCCACTATACTATTTCTCTAATATAGATCATCATCACCAGCATCATTATATCCCTTTGAGATGGCAGAAGTCAGTACATATCCAACAGACAAAGCCTTCTGAATTGAATATTTCTGGTAATTATTCTTCTCTCCTGAAAGTCTTCAATGACTTGTTATTTCACTCAGAATAAAGCCCAAACTGCTTCACCTGTCTTGGAAGGTCCTCCAAGGTTTGCCTCTGTCTTCATTGTTGTTTCCCAACACTTATCAGCCTAAACTTTAGATGCTGGAAAGCATTTGGAGGCATCCTCACTTCTGGTGTGGGCACTGTCCTTCCTCCCATGGCGTTTTCTATGAAAAAACACTCCAGATGGACCCCATTCACCATCAGCATTCAACTTATTCCCTTCAGATTGTCCCTGATCTTCTAAATTGTTAGCACATTAATATTAGGATCTTGAACTTTTCCTTCAAGATACCCCCACAATAATTAGTTCTGCCTGACTCATGAGAGCAGAGCTTTTGCCTGACTTGTTCGTTATTCTATCTCCATTTCTAGCAGGGAGCACATAGTAGGTGCTCAGGGAGTATTTGCCACATGGCAACTGCTCACTAAGGAGCTGTAAAAGCACTCTTTAAAATTTCTATAATGGTTCCTATGTCATTTTTAGTAACCATTTCCTATAAAGTCTTACTAATGGAGTGTTCAAAAACTTTTTAAAATGCAATAATTTTGTGTTTATCACCCCTTTCCACATTCTTGAATATTTTTTTTGTTCTTTTTGAAAATGGGCAGTAAGAGGTAGATGGAAGAAAGACTTTAGCTTGTTTTAAGCTTGTCACTCAACGTGTATTTAGTAAGCACCTTCTATGTGCCAATCACTAAGTTTGAAGAATAGAGTAAGTGAATAAAATAGGCACAGTATCTGTTTTATGGAGTTTGCATAGTAGTGTGTGTATAAGAAAATGAGAGGAAGTCAGAAAGTAACAAACTGAACAGTCTATAGCACACAGTAATAATAGCCAAATTGAGGAAGGGGAGTGAGTGTTAATTTTACATTTAGGGTGAGAGGAAAAGCTTCTCGAATAAACAGACATTTGAGTCGGGACCAATAGCAATTCAGGCGTCTGTATCAGGTCCCAGGGAAGCATGTAAGATCTGGAATTTCGTTTTGTAAATTCAAATCGCAGGTTACCAGTTGCAAGCCGTCTGCGACTAAACAAGTCAAACTAGTCCCTCGGGGCCTTCCCCCTACTTGTGAAAGGACAATAATACTACAAACCTCATAGGCTCCGTAAGAGAAAATGCTCTGCAAGGAAACTAACACAGAAGAGCCCTAACAGGACTTCTAAGGAAGGGCTGAGCCCCTGGGAAACCAACACCGGGAAAGCCTGCTAGCCTCCCGCCACTAGCACCACCCCCTCTGGCGGGAGTGAAGCTTGCAATTGGCTACTTAACCCGCCCGTCCGGCCCGCCCAGGCATCCGGGCCAATCCCGGCCGGTGTTGCCCGAGTGGGCGGTGCCCATGACGTTTGATGACGCGTTACGTCAGCGTTGACGGAAGTCACGGCCGCTGTTTTGAAATCCAGCCGCCGGAGTCTCACCAGCTCCTTCCCACGCCAAGGCCGCCGACATCCCGTCGCCAAGGGGACCCCCGGACGCTCCTCCTGCGGCCCCGCGGGCCTGAGGCCGCAGCCGCGCCATGTCCACTCCTCCGTTGGCTGCGTCGGGGATGGCGCCCGGGCCCTTCGCCGGGCCCCAGGTTCCGCAGGCCACGCGGGAGGTCAACACGGCCTCCCTGTGCCGGATCGGGCAGGAGACGGTCCAGGACATCGTGTACCGCACGATGGAGATCTTCCAGCTGCTGCGGAACATGCAGGTGGGCAGCTGGGCGGGTGGGCGGCGCCGCCCCCGGCGCGGGGAGGAGGCGGATGCTTCTGCGAGGTCGCGGGGCTCCGGGCTGGACGTTCCGTGGGGCCCCTGGGCGTCAGCGGGGCTGCCCTGGGCAAACCCCGAGGATCGGGTCGCCCCATTTACGTGCCGAAGTGTCCTCTGTGACTGTCCGTCCCCGAGAGTCTGCCGTACGAAGGAGATGTTTCCAGAGCGGGTTTCTGGGCGATTGGAGCCCCGTGTTCTGGATTCGAGCTCCGTGTTCTGGACTCGAACAGGTTCCCTGGTTACCAGGCAAACTCGCTCCTTTCAGGGTTCGAGTCCGGCCTCATTCCGCTACCCCGTTTCGATTGCTTTAACCGGCATCTCATCTTCTTCCAGCAGAATCTTTTCTGAGGGTCTGAGGAGTTGAATTCAGAATCTGCTCATCATTTTTGTTCGACGGCTCTATTTTTGGTGTAAGAGGCACACAATAAAATTCATTTTTTAAAAGTGTTAACGGATGTATATGCGTCCTTGTGAAACCATCACCCATGGCCGCAAAAGGTCTCTCCATGCGCCTTTGAAAGCTTTACTTCTGGCCTTCTGGCCGCGGGCAACCTCTCTGATTTGCTTTCTGTTACCATCCATTTCTAGAATTCTGTGTAAATGGAATCATTTTTGTAGTAGTCACTTTTGTCTGGTGCCTTTCACTCATCGTGTGTCAATAGTTCGTTCCTTTTGATTGCCGAATAGTGTTCCGTCGTGTGAATGAATACATCACAGTTCGTGTGTATGTTCATCTGTTGGCGGACATTCGGGTTGTTTCCACGTTGGAGTCATTATAAAAATACTTCTGTGAATGTTCGTCTCCAAGTGTTCTGTGAACATGTGTTTCATTTCTCTTGAGTAGGCAGGTGCCCCGCAGTGGAATTTGCTGGATCATAAAATAAATGTTTAGCATGTTAAGAAACTTTTTCAAAGTTCTGCACAACTTTAATTCCCATCAGCAGTGTGTGAGGGTTCTAGTTACGCCTCATCCTCACCAGCACTTGTTATCCTGTGTCTTTTGCTTTGCAAATACTTTCTCGCAGTCTGTGACCTGTCTTTTCATTCTATTCACATTGCCTTTTGAAGAACAAACATTTTAAACTTTGATGGAATCCAACTTAATTAATTTGTTCACAGATTTTGTTTGGATGTTGTACCTAAGAAATTTTTGTCTAATTGAAGGTGACAAAGATTTTCTTCTATGTTTTCTTCTGCAAGTTTTATAGTTTTAGGTTTTACATTTAGGTCTATGATCCACATTGAGTTAATTTTTTAATATAATGATAGGTGTAGATCCAAGTGCATTTTTTTTTTTTTTTGCATTTGGATAGCCAAGGATTCCAACCTCATTTTCTAGCCTATTTTTTAATTGAATTTATTGGGGTGACATTAATAAAATGATATGGATTTCAGGTGTACAATTCTATAATACATCATCTGTATATTGTATAATGTGTTCACCAGCCCAGGTCAAGTCTCCTTCTATCACCATTTATCCCCCTTTTACCTCTTCTACCAGCCCCATCCTCCCCTTTCCCTCTGGTAATCACCATACTTGCTAACCCATTTTTAATGCTTGCTCATCTTACTATTATGTGATGTGGCTATCATCCTGGTTTTATGGGTGAGGATTCTGTGATTCAGAGAGGTAAGGTAACTTGCCCAAAGTTGGTCAATGACAAGGTAAATTTGAAATCAGGTCGTCAGACTCTTACAATTCTTATTCCTACAGGTGCACTAAAGAGTAGCTTATTGCCTTTTTTTAAGTTCTTGAGATTTTTTTTCTCCTCATTTTAAAAGTAATAGAGTTGTTTAGAAATCTTTGAAGACCATGTCAATAAGCCAGGGTGAAACAATACAAAGGCAATCTAAGACAAGATAAGAAATCTTTGGCAATTACTTAAAATTAATATATTAATACCTAAAATGATTTAAGTATGTATTAAATGATCTCTCAGAATTTAGCAAATACAGTTGACCCTTGAATAATGCGGAGTTAATGGGTGCCAACTACCCATGCAATCGAAAATCTCCATATAACTTTAAAAAATATATACAGCACTTTATTTTTGATGGTCACATTTTATACCATGTTGTTATATACATAGAAAAGTGCATAATAGACCAAATTCTGGACTAAATATTCTTCAGATAAAATCCATTCTATATCAGTGTACACCCCATATAACATTTAAGTCAGCCCTCCATATTCGTGGATTCCCAACCATGAATCGAAAATGCACTTATTTTTAGCATGCTGTATGCAAAGCACTGAATTAGGACTGGAAAACTAATAGCTAATATTTATCAAGTACTTTGTCAGGTACACTGTTGTAAGAGCAATTCTAAGGAGTATTTTTATCTCTATTTCACAGTTAAGGAAACAGAGGCTTAAAGAGAGAAGAATTTACCCAACATCACACATGACTAGTAGCTTTTCCTGTTAACCTCTTTATAGTTCTAACTTGCTATCAAACAAGTATTAGCATTAAAAGAGATATGATACACATCTGTGACCAACACAGAAAAAAACTAAACACTTTCAAAAAATTATGACTACATTACATGTGGTTTTTGACAACCCTCAAAAACCAATTTGTAAGAGCCTGATAGTTAACTACTCTGTGGCCCTGTAAGTGTGAGTTCTGTGGTTTAATTCATCTAAGCCCCTTTGAGCATATTACAATTCGCTGTAAAAGAAACAGGGTGCCCCTTCATTTCCAGGAAGCTAGAAGTAGTAGTGGTACAGACAGGACTACATGTAACTTACTTATTGATACACTTTTTAGAGTATTCACATTTTAAAAATGATCTTCTACACTGCTAATCAAGAAGGACACAGTGGCATAAATACAGACTGCTGAGATTATTTCTAAGTGTTCTAGAGAAGTGGTTCTTTATTACGTGTCCTTCAGCTTTTTGAGAATGGGATGAAAACTATGGACTCTCTTCTAAGAAAAATACACATATATACTTTGAATAAAATTTCAGGCGGGTTAAGAGATGTTTCCCCAAGGATCCCTTCTTGATCCCAGTTGAGAATCCCTCCGTAAGGAAGTATTGCTTTGGTTCTGTTTATTATCCTTTACCTCTTTAAAACAACTTCTTTGAATATATAATACATTCAAAATTCAGAAATAAAAAAGGACATTACAGTGAACATTCTGCCTTCCTCCCCTCTCTGCTAGCTATCTACCCCTTTCTCTGCAGGCAATGATTGTTAATGATTTTTATTACTATTCTTGTGTATCCTTCCCGATATTCTGTGCTTGTTTAAGCAAATGTATATTCTTTTATTTTCATCCCTTTTGCACAGATAACAGTATATTACACACATTTTGCACCTTGCTTTTTTTGATTTGGTATATTTTGGGGTTTATTCATATTCATACAGGAAATAACTCCTTTTCTTTTTAAAGAGTACAGTAATTCACTACATGGGAATACTGTAATTTATTTAACCAGTTCTCCAGTGAAGGGCATTTAAGTAGCTTTTCATCTCTGACTGTTAGGCTGCAGTGAATAACCTTCTGCATAAATGCACAAGTGTACCTGTAGGATAAATTCTTAGAAATGGCAATGTGCTTCTATAATTAGATATATTTTGAACAATTGCCCTCCATGGGGTTGTACCAGTTTATGCTGCCATATCCAAGATCAATAACTGGGCTCTAATAGAGTGAGTTATATTTTTGGATCTTTAATCACTGGATGGGTAAAAATCTATGTTTTTTCCTATTTGGAATGAATTTGATCATCTCTCTTTATAGAACATTTGCTTCAATTTTTATATTTAAAACTTTGACCCAGATGGAATTTAGCCTAGAATAAAGTGTGAGGCATGGCCCTGGCCTTACTTTTTCCAAAAGGTTGGTTGAATAATTTATTTCCTTCCTCATTGATTTCAGATGCTACTTTATACAAATAAGTCTATTTCTGGATTTCTATTCTGTTCTATTCACTTAGCTGCCTGTCTTTTATACAATGCCAAACTTCTATTTATTGAGGCTCTATAATGTGTTTATACTTATTTTTCAGAATTGCCCTGGCTATTCTTGCTTATTTTTCCACACGTTCTTTACAATCTGCTTGTTTAGTTCTGAGAACCTGTTCACGTTTTTAATGGGTTCATTTAACCTGGAGACATCACTATTATGTTGAGTCTTAATAACCAAGAACATGAAATATCCTTTGTGTCCCTATGAAGTATTCTAAGTTTTCATTTTTACCTTGGAATTTAAAAAATTATTTCCTAGATGTTTTGTCTTTATTGTTGCTATTGTAAATAGGGTCTTTTTCCTTTCTCATTTTCTTTTGTTTTTATATATGAAAAGCAAACTATTGTTTTCTATACTTTAACTTTGTACCCACTTCCTTCTTGAATTCTTTTATTGATAGTAGCACTTTCTCATATCATTTGTAGTGATGATTATACCACATTCTTTTTAATATTTTAACATTTTTTTTCTTTTTTCTCTCTCTAATTGCATTGGCCAGTTCCTCCAGAATAGTGTTCACTAGTAATATTAGTGGTCTTAGTAGACATCCTGTTCTGTTTCTGACTTCATTGAGAATGCTTTTAATGTTTCCATATTAATCAGGGTGCTGTGCTCACTTTTTAACTGGGATAAATGTATTTTATCACACTGGGGAATGTTTAGTACGACTTTTCTATTTATTTTAAGAATGGATATTGAATTTAATTGAATGCCTTTTTGGTATCTGGGGTATGATCATATATTTATGGGCCTTCATTAGCATTCATGAGGGAGATGATTATTGATGAGCTTTCCAGCTAAATATGTACACTACAGTGTATAACAAGGGCTCTTAGGCACTATAATAACTATACTCTGTAGTATCAGAACGTGTCTCTAACCCAGTTTCTAGGACAGTGCCTGACACATGTAGAATGTGCAATAATTTTTTTGACTGAATTAATTATTCCTTTCTTTGAGAAGCTGAAGTTGTATATGAAAACTAATACCCACACTTACTAAGTAGGTGAATTTAAGGAGGGTGATTATTTGCATTTCAAAATGATTTTGTTTTCCTTTGTGAAAAAATCTATTCGGAGTTCTTTTTACATGACACACACTTCTAAGTGAATTTTAAGTATAGATTTATTGGGAAAATAACTCATTAAAAACGCATAAGCATCAGGACAGTTGATGATCAGAGCAGTTACTTATAATAATTTATTAATGATGTTCAAGTTCAGATTAATTTGCATCTATATCTCCTGCTATATGTTATTTTTAAAGAAAACTTTTGGTGACAACTTTATATTTCATTGTGTGCCTTGAGTATCTTAATTATCAGAGTTAAGGTACCTTGAGATTATTTTGCAACAGGAGCAGCATATTACTACTTTTATTCTGTTAAAAAGTCCTGGCTTCATTTATTTCTTTTCTTCTTTTTTTAAAATTTTATTTTACTTTTCACTTCCTAGTTGAGTCCAGCTACTTGCTGCCTTTATGTAATAGTAAATAATATTAAAATTGTATGTTTTTAAAGTAATACTTTAAAAATTAGAGGGGGAAAGTATTTCACCTGGTCAGAGGGGCTTATCACAAAGTTTTTTTCTGGATGTGTTTTATAGCACAAACAGTATGCCAAGGAGCTGAGAAATGAGCACGGATTACTCTTAAATTCTTAAACTTGCACTTGATTAACTGAGGAACTGTTTGCTTTTATGCAGTACTTAAAATTGTTTGTTTGCTAGCTTTACTTATAGAAAGTCTTGATTTTCATTATTTTTTATTTTTGTTGTTCTATTTTGCCTGATAAGCTCCCAAATGGTGTCACGTACCACACTGGAACATACCAAGATCGGCTAGCAAAGCTCCAGGATCACCTTCGCCAGCTTTCTATTCTCTTCCGGAAGCTGAGACTGGTCTATGACAAATGCAATGAAAACTGCGGAGGGATGGATCCCATTCCAGTAGAGGCAAGTGGTAAAGGGAGGGTGAATGTAAGACAGGATGGTCTCAGGTGTTGTCATTGTCGCCCTTCTCGCTTTCTCCTATTTCTGCAATATCTCCAGATTTTGAATTATATCAGTTTTACTTTTGACTAGAGAAGATGAAAATACGATATAAATATATGTATAGAATACCATATTTTCATGTTAATAATTTTTTGTACACTAATATATAGGCTTATTAGTGAATTTTGGTTGTTAGAATGTGAGGGTTGTCTGGCAATTTTTATTGTTGTCAGTGTCTCCTATTAATTAAATCACTGCATGGTGGTTTTGGGGTTTTTCTTAGTAGGAGTTTAAATAGTATTGTCAAATACTTTTTAAATAGTTTTCATGTGAGTTCTTTATGGACAAAAGTTATGTTTTCATCATTAATAATTTAAATTAGCTTAGTGAATCACTTGTTTTAAAATGTATTCTGTAAATTTAACTTTGGATCCTAAATATAGTTTAGTTAATTAGGTATGAGGGGTCCTGGGTTCGATTCCGGTCGGGGGCATGTGCCTTGGTTGCGGGCACATCCCCAGTGGGGGGTGTGCAGGAGGCAGCTGATTGGTGTTTCTCTCCCATTGATGTTTCTAACTCTCTGTCCCTCTCCCTTCCTCTCTGTGGAGGGTCAGTGAAATATATTTTTTTTAAAAAATGTATTCTGTAAATTTAACTTTGGATCCTAAATATAGTTTAGTTAATTAGGTAGTATATACATAGCCCTTTCCTGTTGACAAGTTATATCTCTGCCCCCAAAGGTAGCTGGGAAGAGTTGGATGTTCTCTCATTACGTATAAAGAGCTGTTTCATGTGATCAGTGCTCCTTTTTTGAGTGATCAGCAGGAAGGGATGGACAGAGAAAGAGTAAATGCAAAACAGCCTGAAAAGAAGTGATCAAAGGTGTTGGCGAAAGATCAGAAATATGGTTGACAAATTGTCAGAGGCTGCAGAGAAGTCAAGGAAAATAAGGACTGAAAACTGTCCAGTAGATTTTGCTAGAGAATTGTCAGTATATCTGAGCAGCGCTTCAATGAAATGGTAGCAACAAGAAGTCAGATCACAGTGGGTTGAAGATAGAGCAGAAAATAAGGAACTGGAGCCAACAAGTGGCTAAGCATCTTTCAAGAAGCTGAGATAGAAATCAAGAGAGGAATGCAGTAGATGGAAAGAAGGATAGAGTCAAAGGTTTTTGGCATTTTTCCTCCACATGGGAGAGATCAGAACATGTTTAGATGATAAAGGAAGAAACCTTAGGGAAAGGTTGGGAAGCGGATAAGTAATAAAGGCAGAAAGAAAAGCACAGGAATGGAGACTAACCGTATTCAGGAGAAAGGACAGTGTGCATTAGGAGAGAGGAAAGGAGGAAAGTGGTGTGGGTGTGGGTAAGTCTTTATTGTCTCTGTGAAGGAATTTGAAGAAGTTTAGCCAGATGACTCCTGGTCGTACCACCTATTCACCTGGATTGGTAATAATATAAGACAGTTGAGACTATATGATTCCTGAAGTCTATCACGTCTATGAGGAGTTTCATCAAATAAACTTCATCACAAACCATACATATTCAATTATAATTCTGCTACAAGTTTCATTGCTATATACATTTTTTTCTCCTACAAAATTAAAAACAAACAAACAACTTTCTCCTAATCAAAGAAGTTACAACATCTAGGATTTTTCATAGGTACTTAGGTTCTAAATAGCAAGTAAATGAGATTTATATCATGCACATCCCTAAAGTTCTTTCTAGTATGAATGAAAGAAAGCCTATTCTATCTCAATGGTCCATGAATTTCTTAGGTTTGGAAATCACAACTTATGTATCACAATTTTTGCAGTGTGTCACCCAGTGGCTGGCAACTAAATATTTGCTGGTTGAATGAGTAGGGTATTACTTAACTATATGTAACAACTAGTGTTATAACAGCTATTTCTCAAAAGAAACCCAAAAAGCTAATGTACAGAGTGCACTGAAATGATAAACTCACCACACTGTTATTTTAGACCATCATCTAAGTTAAAATTTCTTTTTATATTATTAAAAGTATAAAAATTGACCTTAATCTGACTCATTTCTATACCAGTGTAATTGGAAATTTTATGTCATATTTTTTACTTTTAACTTGTTTATAACTTCCAGCAACTAATTCCATACGTGGAAGAAGATGGCTCAAAGAATGATGATCGGGCTGGCCCACCTCGTTTTGCCAGTGAAGAGAGGCGAGAAATTGCTGAAGTAAATAAAGTGAGTGATTAGTCTGTACATTTGATATTTCTCTTTTCAAATATGAATTGAATTAATATTAAACATTAAAGTCTCTGTAAATTGCTTTTCTGTTTCCAATAAAAATTTCTTGGTCCCCCTTTTTAGTTACTTTCTCCCTGTTACTTTAACTCTAGATAGAATTAATATGAGCAGTTTATGTAATCTTGGTTTGCTCTTTAATGATATAAAAATTAATGATTTTAGGCCTCTTTATACTGAACATGTACTACTTTATGTGGAGGTATTTTAATATAGTTTCTTTAAAATTATTTAAGTAAATATATTATTTCCAAATGTAATGTTCCCAAAAGGTTATTGAACAGTAATGCTTCTTATTATAATAGCTAGTAAACACTCACCAGAAGTTCTCTATTTTTATCTTGTTTTACCCAAGCATACATTTGCCTTACAGAATTTGAGGAAAGGATCCTAAACAGTATGCTTTTCAGTGAATATTTGTGGACAGAAGAGGGCTGAGGTCTTCTGCCTGAAGGAAATACTTAGCTTAATTGTCTGGAGTCCAAACTTAGGACATTTAGTCTTTTAACTTCATGGTCTATATTTCATTTTTGATAAATTCTTTTGTTTCTCCAGAAACTCAAACAGAAGAATCAACAGCTGAAGCAAATTATGGATCAATTACGAAATCTCATCTGGGATATAAATGCCATGTTGGCAATGAGGAACTAAACTGATATTTACATTTCCTGCTTTACACATTATACCATTTTTTTCCCCTCAAGTATTTTTTCCCTTTGAAAAAGATTATTTATCTGTTTGTATTCCAGTCACTAGAACTAAAGTTCTATTTTTTTTTTTTTTTAAGTTCTATTTTTACATTGTGGTTTTACATTAAAGTAGTCATTGGCAGTCTTTTGTTTAAGCTATTGATTTTGTGAAAGATTATAATAATAAACTTTGACAGGGTTTGTGTTTTGGTTAATCTTTGTGAAGTGAATAATTGTGTTTTAAAAGCAAAGTAAAAGATTTTAAAATTTGATCAGTGGTTGTTTTGGTCATTTCATTATGCTTTTAGGAGAAAAAAGTTTAAACATTTTTGCAGATGAAAATATCAAACTGGTACAAATTAATTAAAGTTATATAATGTAATTTACCATTTCAAATCAATTTTTTTTAAATTCCCTTTGAGTCCTAAACAAGTTAAAATGAGAAAAAACAGTTAATTCGTATATTGCTGTAAATAGATGAAAATTCCCTTTACCATGTTTTTCCAGTGTTTGGTCTTAATTGGAATGATCTGTCTCCAAAAGGAAACAAACATTTGGGGATGGCACAAACTGAAACCACGACTGTGTGCTTGTTACCTGCTTTAGGCCAAGGAGCAGTTCCCTCTCTGAGTTTTCAGGTGCACCCTAATATCGATGCATTTTGGAAACAGTACATTTTTAAGAGTTTCAAATGAGATCAATAGCTCTATATGACAAGTGCCTTTGTAGACTAGTAATTGGTCAACAGTAAGTTATTTATAGGTCTGCCTACAGGCTGGTCGCTCAGATTATAAATATCCTCAAGTAAGAGAATCAGATCTTCCCAGGAAGGACTTTTCCAGCCTGATCCAGAAGCCTCTATCTCCAGCCCTGGGTTCCGACTCCAGGAAATATTGCTATTTGACTTCCCTTGTGTATGGATCAAGTTTCTCTGGAAGGTTACACAGGAAATGGCTCCCTCCGGGGAAGGGACCCAGGTGGTTGTATACCCTTTGGTACCTTTGGAATTCTACTGTATGTGAAAATATTGCGTATTCAAAAAATAGGTAAAATTTCATTTTAACCTGTGCAGATTCCCACCTGTAACGGTAGCAGAATCACAATAGGAGAAGCCAAACCATGTGGGCATCATTTTACCCTCTAACTGTACATTCGTCAAAGCAAGCTCTCCGAGTAAGCCATGTTAGTCGGCTGGGAGCTGATTGCCCAGGGTGGGAAGCACTGTAGTCACAGGGCAGAAGGTAAAAGTATATGAAGCTATGACAACACAAATTAGGACCAATAACTCAGTATACCCCTGTAGTCTGTAGTATTTAAGGATATTACAGTTTATTTAGCTATCACCAGTTGGACAACTGGGGTTTTATAGGTGTTAACTAATATGTTCTTTGTACAGTGGATTACTGGTCACTATTACAAATTGAGTGGGTACTGACAACTTCTAAAGCAGTTATAAAAAATGTCTTAACCTATTTTTTAGTTGTTTCAATTATCGCACTCAACTCCTGAGATCATTCAGTGTGGAAATTTCATCATTTGGGCCTTGGTTCAATAAAGAGTATCTCTACTGTGGAGCACTCATCAATGCAGCTGCACTCAGCTAACAGAGCTGTAGCCCCAAATTCTGGGAGGTGTGTTTTCAGCCCTCAGAACTGACAACGGTTTACCCAGTCACTCACAAGTCTGCTTGGGACCAGCTATGAATGCGTTGGGAGTTATTAAAAACACAAACTCCACTAACTCAAAGTTTCAGTTTTTTTCTTGAAGCAGAGCATGCCAATAGATTGAAGAGAAAAGAAATAATTCAGTTGTGATGTGTGGCCTTGGGCAAGTTAATCTCTGTTTTCTTGTCTAAAATGATAGGTGGAATTTATGGATTTGATGTTGTATGTTGAAATTCTAGTTATAAATGTTAGAAACCCATTCAAGATGGCTTAAGCCAAAAGGGGGTTTATTAGTTCCTGGAGCAAGAAAGGAGGCTTGAGAAGAGCTCACAGAATCAAAAGCTGCAGGCACCACGGCTTCAGGAATTGGAACCCAGATGTAACGCCCCAGGTTTTCTATGCCCGCCCCAAATTTCCGCTTCTTTCCCTTTGCTCCACTCTCTCTTACTGCAAACAGGCTTTCTCCTTCCCCTGGCTTCCCTTCACCCCTTTTCTGCAGGTGCCCCAAAGGCTGAGTTACGCCCCCACTGTAAACTGAGAACTCAAATGGATCCTGATTAGCACGGCTTGAGCCAAATAACCAAAACTTTGGAACAATTGTGTAAATGGGTACTATGGTTAGACTGTCCTAGATCGACGTTATAAGCCCATCTCTGTGGCCAGGAAGTGGGTGTGGGAGTCATGGAAAAGCTGCTGACCAGGGAACACAGGTTATTAGAAAGAAAGGGCACTAACCAGGAAAATTCTCAAGAAAAACAAATAATGGCAACCATACTCCACTGATGTTCTTGGTTATACACTGAGTGGCCAGATTATTATGACCACCCCATCAGTACTTCGTTGGGCCACCTTTTGCCTTCAATACTGCGGCGATTCTTCTTGGCATTGACTCCACGAGATGTTGAAAGGTGATGCAAGGAATCTGATACCATGCCTGATGAATAGCACTGTCCAGTTCTGTGAGATTTGATGGTTGTGGAATCAGCTGCCTGATGACTCTTTTAACTTCGTCCCACAAATGCTCAATTGGATTGAGATCTGGTGATTGTGGGGGCCACCTAAGCAAGGTAAAGTCTCCCTCATGTTCTTGAAACCACTCCTGCACAATATGAGCACCGTGGCATGGCGCACTGTCTAGTTGGAAGAAGCCATCTCCATTGGGATACGCCATCAACATGATAGGTTGAACTTGATCAGCAACAATACTTAGGTATGTTGTGCTATTCAGATCTTGTTCCACATGAATTAAAGGACCCAAATCATACCAGGAAAACATGCCTCAAACCATAACACTGCCCTCACCAGCTTGAAGGGTTGTACTCATGCATGTGGGGTGCATGCTTTCATGCTGTTTCCTCCAAATTCTCACTCTGCCATCTTCATGATGCAACTGAAAACGTGATTCATCAGACCACATGACTTTTTTCCAATGCTCGACTGTCCCATCCTTGTGTTCCTGTGCAAATTGGAGGCGTTTTATCTTGGTAACTGCAGACAGAAAAGGTGTTCGAACAGGCCTTTGGCTTTCATATCCCATATGATGCAGTGTATGGCTAATTTGCCTACAAACATCAGGTGGTCATAATAATCTGGCCACTCAGTATATAATACTATGTCAGATATGAGGTATTCAAGTCTCAAAAACAAACAAACAAACAACAACAAGAAAGGATTACCAAAAAACAAATGCATCATTCACTATTATGAGAAAACTAGAGGCCTGGTGCACAAAAATTCATGCACTCAGGGGCATCCCTCAGCCGGGCCTGCACCCTCTTGCAGTCCAGGACCCCTCAGGGGATGTCCACCTGCTGGCTTAGGCCCACTCCCTGGGGGATTGGGCCTAAGCTGGCAGACATCCCTCTGGCAGCCCAGGTGCCCTTGGGGAGCAGGCCTAAGCCGTTGGTCAGACATCCTTAGCACTGCAGAGGAGGCAGGAGAGGCTCCCAGCACCGCCACTGCTCTGGCCAGCCATAAGCTGGCTTCTGGTATAGCAGCGCTTCCCCTGTGGAAGTGCATTGACCACCAGGGGCAGCTCCTGCATTGAGCATCTGCCCCCTAGTGGTCAGTGCGCATGATAGCGACTGGTCGTTCCACCACTAGGGTCAATTTGCATATTACCCTTTTATTATATAGGATATTCATTTTAATTTTTATGGATCTGTGAACCGTGTTGACATTTTTTCTTTGCAGCTATTTTGTTTGTTTTTCGCTATTTCCATTCATTGCAATGTGATCTTGTCAGGTCTTAGCACAGATAGGAAAGAGCTGGGAAAAAAATAAAATGAAAGCACCAGCATCCTGGTAATGACATTACCTTTAACATGATTTGGAAACTGAAGGCCCTGATCATTGAGACATTAGATCCCTTGGCACCATTACAAGCCAAGATGTGTTAACTTGACATTTTGATGTAGCTCCAGTTTAAGTAATTCATTTTCTTAAATTCCCAAAGAAGTTTAAGCTAGATAGAGGAATCTTTCAACCTTAAAATAAAATGTGTGCTTGTCCTAAAGCTCAAAGAGTTTGTTATCCTGGGTGTTCTTAAATTTGTCCAACAAACTAGTTGCCTTAAATTTTTTCTGTTCCTTTAAAACACGAATGGACAAAGGACTGATTTTTTTTTAAAAGCCTAAATTAAAGGTATTCTAGATGTTTGTGTATATATGTATTTTTTAACATGGTAGCAGTCTTGAATGCTTTCATATTTTTGTAACTTAAAGAATTAGAGTTAATAGATTTAAGTTGATATTGTTTATATTTTTACATGAAGTTGACATTGTGCACTAAGACATCTACATCAATAAATGTTACACTGATGGTTCATACTTATTTTCCAAAAATTCTACTGCCATCAATATGTAATTTTCATTCCAAAAACTGGTAGAAAATTTAAATCTATATTTTCTCTGTCCTTTGAGGTCTTACTCTACTGACTCCTGTATTAACTTTTCCAGACATCTTTTTGAGGCAATACCCTTCAACTTCAGTGTGCACAAGAATCACTTGGGAGCACTTTGGGAAATACAGAAGTTTGGATTTACTGCTAATGTACTAAATCTGAATCTCTAAGGTGGAGTCTAAAATCTGCACATTTAGTAAGTTTTCCACGTGATCTGTCTCTGATGCAGAAAAATATTACACTGTGCAGTTTAGTGATAGTCATGAGTGTATTAATATAAAAAACTTCAAAAATAGCAATACTGATATAAAATACAATGTATTATGCTCTACGTAGAGTTATAGCCTTTTGATTATTTACAAATAATACTCTATGTCAGCAGTTGTCAAACTTGGCT